TTATTATTATTATTATTATTATATTTTCAATTTTGCATTCCATCATGTTTCCAAACAATTGGCCTAACTCTTCCTAAATTTCCCTGAACTTCATGTCTAGTACAAGATCACAAGTGAGAGCACAATCTTCCAACACATGTCCATCTTCTAGCTTGGAGAAGAGTAGTGAGCAGCGGAGTGGCTTGCCTTGTTGTGTTTGTGGAGACACCAACAGCCTACTTTTACACAAGTGTCTCCATAAAACTCTGTAAGAAAAAGGCACTGCCCTCTAGGGCTGCAGCTAACGATTATTTTCATAATCGATTAGTTAGTCGATTTATTATTAAGATTGATTAATTGGATAAAAAAAAAAGGCTCCAGTGATGGACTACTAGTTTCTATTGAGATTGTAGTCCATCACGGAAGCAAGCTTGGAGCGGTGGAAGTAAAAAAAAAAAGTGTGGTGTGCAATATAGTACATTATACAGCGGCGCAATGCAGAATACCAGCAGCAATAGTACATTATACTATAATGTACTATTGCTGGGATTTGTAGTCCTCTGTAGCTGGCGTTATTCTGCATTGTGCTGTATATAATGTATTATTGCTGCGATTTGTAGTACTCTATAGCTGGTGGTATTCTCCATTGCACTGTGTAATGATTATACTGCGCAATGCAGATTACCACTGACCAGTTATAGAGGAACAACAAATCCCAGCAATAATACATTATACAGCCTGTATAATATATTATTGCTGGGATTTGGTGTTCCACTAAGCTGCTGGTGTTCTGCAGTGTGCCGCTGTATTATACAATGCAGTGTTCTGCAGTGTGCCGCTTTTTTTTTTTTAAACAGGAAACATTAAAACAGATTGAGATGAGACCTCTAGTATACGCATTGGTATGCCAGTCTAGTCCTCTGAATTGTTGCCCATGCTTATTGAAACAAGGTGCCTTCTGCGAAGTGCAGTGAGAGGATGGTGGCTATTGGGGATTTGCATGTATTGGAGTCTTCTCTATAGTGATGTGCAGTGTGTGCCTTGTTGATGCCAGGGCTGGGGTGGCCACAGTCAATAGTTAGGGCATTCGGTTTCAAAATGTCAGGACCCAGAATGTCCTCCGGTGAGAAAAAAAAATCAGGTTCCCCTTACCTGAACCCTTGTAAGTTGCTGTGGTGGCGGCGTGCTCTGTGGGCGTGTGTCCGGTGGGCGTGATGTACGCGGCGTGTGGGCGTGGCGTACGCAGCGTGCTTAGCGTAGCTAGTGTATGGAGCCGCGAACAGGCGGGCGTGAGCGGCGGCGAGCGGGGAAATTTAAATTTTAGCCGACGAATCGACAATGGAAACCGTTGACAACGTTTTCCATCGTCGATTTTAATCGACTTAATCAAAATAATTGTTGCAGCTCTACTGCCCTCAAATAGGATATCAGGGCCAGTGCTCAGGGGGCCAGCTGATTCATTGTAAGTGCTTTAATCAGCATTTTAAATGGCTTAAAAACCTTTTTTATTTTTATTATTTTAATATTACTTTAACACTGCTGGCGAGTGCACAGGTAAAGGGTTAAAATAAAATGTAGGGCAGATTTTACATAAATTGTTTTGATTGGTCAACCCTTGAATGACCCCAGTTATGTATTTAGATTGCCTTGTATGCCATTCATTTTATACACTGAGATGTAAAAACAAGGAGCAATTCGATGGCTGCAGGAAGGCAGTAGAAGGAGCCAAAATAAACTGCCCAGCAAAGTACACTCCCCTTAATAACATGTCGCATACTAAAGAAGAGGTCAGAAAAAACTTCCTGCCAGCGATTCACATCAAAAGGTCGTAGGGATTATGGAAACTGCCTGCAGTCCTTTCAACTGTTGGAAAAAGCCACGGAGATCTGTATTTGCATGCATGCAAATACATTGGCAACCACACTATTTAGTTCAGATTAGCTACTTCAGGACCGCCTGGCATATATAGTGCATTCAGACCCCCTTCATTTTTTTCAATTTTGTTATGTTGTAGCTTGATACTACAGTTGTTTAAAAAAACTTTTTTCTCATTATTCTACACTCAGTACCCATAATGACAAAGTGAAAACAGAATTTTAGAAATGTTTGTGAATTTATAAGAAATACTAAAGCCTGAAATATTACATGTACTAAAGCAGGGGTGCCCACAAGGTCGATCGCGATCTACCAGTCGATCGCGCAGCGATCACTGGTAGATCGCCATGTCCTCTCCTCCCGCCGCTTCTCTGGATCCCCGCTGATCTCCCCAGCGGGGATCCGAGAAGAAGTGAAGGAACCGGCAGCGGGGGAGGGCGGAGAACTAATGCAGAGCGGTGAGGAGAGAGAGAGAGACGCTCGCCCAGGATCTGACAGCCGGCGCCTCTCTCCCCCCTCACTGCTCGTCCGTTCTGTCAAAGTATTTAGACCCTTTACTCAGTGCTTTGTTGAAGCACCTTTTGGCAGCAATTACAGCCGAGTCATTTTGGGTATGATTTGACAAGCTTTGCACATCTGGATTGGGGGATTCTCTGCCATTCTTCTTTGCAAATCCTCTCAAGCTTGGTCAGGTTGGATGGGGACCGTCGGTGGACAGCCATTTTTAGGTCTCCCCAGAAATGTTCAAGTCAGGGCTCTGGCTGGGCCACTTGACGACATTCCGAGAGTTGTCCCTAAGCCACTCCTGTGTTGTCTTGGCTGTGTGCTTAGGATCGTTGTCATGTTGAAATGTGAACCTTCAGCCCAGTCCGAGGTCCTGAGTGCTCTGGAACAGGTTTTCATTGAGGCTATCTGTGTACTTTGCCCAGGGACTGGGAGACTGCTCAGGGTTGAGGGAAAGCTGAAGGGAGCAAACACCCCTACAGCCTGATGCTGCCACCACCATGCTTCACTGTTGGGAAGGTATTGGGCAGGTGATGAGCGGTGCCTAGTTTCCTCCAGACATTTAGAATTGAGATCAAACAGGTCAATCTTGGATTCATCAGACCAGAGAATCTTGTTCCTCAGTCAGTCCGCCGGGTGTTTTTTTTTTTTTTTTTTTGCAAACTCCAAGTGGGCTTTATGTGTTTTGCGTTTTTGAGGAGAGGCTTCTGTCTAGCCACTCTGATATAAAGGCCAGATTAGTGGACAGCTGCAGTGATGGTTATCCTTCTGGAACTTTGTCCCATCTCCAAACAGGATCTCTGGAGCTCAGTCAGTGACCATCGGGTTCTTGGTCACCTCTCTTACTAAGGCCCTTCACCCCCAATTGCTCAGTTTGGCCGGGCGACCAGCTCTTGGAAGAGTCCTGGTTGTGCCAAACTTCTTCCATTTGAGAATTGTGGAGGCCACTGTGGTCTTGGGAACCTTCAGTGCAGCAGAAATGTTTTTGTAGCCTTCCCCAGATCTGTGCCTTGCAATAATTCTGTATCTGAGCTCTGCAGGCATTTCCTTTGACCTCATGGCTTTTACTCTGATACAGTATGCATTGTCAGCTGTGAGGCCTTCTATAGAGAGGTGTGTGCCTTTCCAGATCATGTCCAATCAATGTAATTTACCAAAAGTGGACTCCAATCAAGGCGTAGAAACATCTCAGCAACGACCAAGAGAAATAGGAGGCACCTGAGCTAAATTTCAAGTGTTGTAGCCAAGGGTCTGACTAATGTCATTGTAATTCATTTTTTTCTTTCATATATTTGCAAACATTTCTAAAATTCTGTTTTCACTTTGTCATTATGGGGTACTGAGTGTAGATTAATGAGGAGACAAAAAGAATTTAAACAACTGAAGTATCAGGATGCAACTTAACAAAATTGAAAATAGTGAAGGGGGTCTGAATTCTTTCTGAATGCACTGTATACATCCTGGCCTGAAGTGGTTATAGTAAGATCATGGATACTACTGTAGTATCATTTTTTTTCTCAGCAGGTTGAACTCATTTCGTGCAAGTGATCTGGTTGGCTATACAGATCTCTTGTGGATCACTTGTATCAGCCTTCATAGGTGGTCCATTCCAACCCCTCTCCACAGTGGTTTTTGGGATCCACTGCTTCTCTGGGGAACCCAGAACCACGGAAAAAAATGCACTCAGGATGGAGAACTTTTTTCCTTTCCTAAAATATGTATTTATTAAACATAAAAAAAGCAGATAAAATGTTTTCATATTCTATATGGCCCCTGCTCTCAAAACATATGTACTTGTTGGGGCTTTTAAAGTAATTCTCTATCCAATAATCCAGATTGTAGTACGTGTGTGCAAACATTACAAAATTCCTCTGGTACTAAGGTGGTTAAAGGAAGGAGAGAGCTTATAGGAGTCCTAAGAAGAAAAAAAATGTAATATATAGATGGATATCTCTTATACATACATTTTTTGCAAATCAACATTGTAACACTTTATTCTCTTCTCTACCCACCCGTTCTTCCCGTTTTTGTTTTCTACAGGATGAAACAAAGCTTCAAGAACCACAATGTCTGCCTAATGATTACTCATCTTAAGCTGAATACATTGTGATTTCCAGTAATAGAGACAGTATTTCTGAAGGCTGTCTACATTAATGAAAAGAGCAATGTAGTCAGCTTAGTTGAATCATCTGAGTTCCCACTTGAATAATGCTTTATACAAGCTGGACATTCGCCTTTTAGAACTAAAATTAGTAATTTGTTAAGTGCATACTTTTTTAGTCTTTAGATTTAGTATTAAGCATGGAGCAATGTGAGGATATCCCCCCTCCCCCTGATGAACCTGGATGCAAGGAGATGGAGTTCACACCTGCTTGTCCCCCACCACTGCCGCCAAATGAAGAGCCTCCACCACCTCCCCTGCAAACGTCCAGTGACGCAGAGGTAATGGACGTTGGCTCTGGTGGTGATGGACAGTCACAAACCCCAGCTGGGGACCTGCAGCTAAACAACGGAGAACAGCTACTAACTAAAGGGTCATCTACATACAAGAGCCATCCTGCAGTACTAGATCCAATGCAAAGTGGCCGAAGCCCCAGAACAGCTCGCCATGCCCCACCAGTTAAGAGGTTTACCCCTGATCTTAAGTTACTTAAAGATGTTAAAATTAGTGTAAGCTTTACGGAGAGTTGTAAAAGCAAAGATAGAAAGGTGCTTTACACTGGAACAGGTTCAGAGAGTCCAACAGACATAGATAGCAATAAAACTGTCAATGGAGACTTGCATGTTTGTCCTTTTGCTGATAGTAGCAATGGTGAAAGTATGGGTAATGATGAAATTACAAGTAACAGAAATGAGGAGCCAGAAATCGATCAGGAGAAGAAAGTGGAATATGCTGTTCTGGATGATCTTGAGGATTTCGCAGAGAATGTGATGGATGTGGATGAGGATGGAGCCGAATTTGTATCAGAAACCATCTTACAGGGGGATAAGGTTGATGACGAATCTCTGATTTACAATTATGAGGTATGTCTGTATATCCTAACCAACCCCATTTCTTACTAATTACTAACATTTCATTTGTTATTTGAGCAGCTCACCTGTGTACTGAATTGTTGTGCTTTTTTCATATGCATCCTAACCATGCGCTGTAAAGATGTTTACTGTATTTTCCCAGTTGTATCTGAGTGTTGTGCTGTCAGCAGCATATTGTAGACCCATTCTTTACCATCCTCTAGCTCCAGATTGGAGGTACATGCTTGTAATCAGTGTAAAGGGGATTTGACCTCTCCCACGTTTTGGAAGAGGGGACGTGCCTGATAGTTTGTTTTGCAGGATGATTTTGATAATGATGTGGATGCACTATTGGAGGAGAGTCTTCATACACCCAAAAAGAGAAGACTAGAGGAGAAATTTGAAGACAGTGACCACCATTCTGACGGCGAGACCAGCGTTCAACCAATGATAACAAGGATAAAAACTGTTCTGAAAAGTAAGGTTCTTCATGTGCTATGCATCAACTGTAAATACTAAAGCATAGAAACTTCTACACGTGCACTGAGCAGCTTCTCAGCAAAGGTGCCTATAGCAAAGTAGGAGAGAGGCAGTGCTTATCAGAAAATGTTCAGTGAGATGCTTTTTACTTATACCTGTTTAAATGTAACCTTTTCTTGTGTTTTGGATTCAACAGGGTAAAAGAATGACAAGGTAGACTGTATTTGAACTGTTAAAAAAAAAAAAAACAACATTTGGCACATATTTTTATTTTCTTCAAACTCCATTATGTAGGTCGTGGACGTCCTCCAACTGAGCCCTTGCCTGAAGGATGGATAATGACATTCCATAATTCCGGCATTCCTGTCTACCTGCACAGAGAAACACGAGTGGTGACCTGGTCCAGACCTTACTTCTTGGGAACTGGAAGCATCAGAGTATGTTCTCAAGGAACTGCATCCCAGTGCTTTTTTTTCTTTTAATTATTAGATAAAGCATTAGACTTCTTTTTTTTTGTTGTAAATGTGGGTTTTACTTCTTGGTTGTTTTTATAGGCTTTTGTTGTATAGCAGTTTTGTCCACATGTGCTTTTTCAAATGTACCTGTTATGTAAATATAAAATGACTATCCGCTTCAAGAAGAGGCTCTATGCCTTGAAAATTTGCTTTCATTTCCACTGCTGTTAGCCTATTTAGGATATTGCCGTTAGTTACTTTTGTAATTTTGACAGAAAACCTGATTCTGTTTTCATTGGTTAGAGCTAAATAACTGCTAGGGATGCATCGAAATTAAATTTTTAGACCGAAATTAAAAAAATGTCGGACTGAAACAGAAAATTACTTTTTCCTTTTTTTTTTTTTTTTTTTTTTTTACTGTTGGGGGCTTTGGGGAAATATCAGGGGTCTGAACGTGAAACCCTTGACATTTGACCTTTTTTAAAATAGAAAGAGATTGAGGACAGAGTCCTCAATCGTTTTCTACAGCCCCAGCACTCAATGAACCCCCAGCATCAGCACTCAGTACAGAGGCTTCCTGTTCATTCACAGTCTGGAGATGGTAAACTATCAACCCAGTCATGAATGGACACGCAGCCTCTGTACTGAGCTGCTTCCTGTTCATTCATAAAATGAGCAGGTAGTAAATATTTATTGTGCCCATTCATAAATGAATGAGAAGTATTGTATAGCACTTCCTGTTCATTCATAACTGGGGATATAGTAAACATACTATGTCCTTGGTTATTTTACAAAGAGCAATCAGTACTGATCGTTGATTGTTCGTGCTCCGCTCTGCATCCTGCATGCTCCGCCTGTCACAGGAGCCGAGCTCTCCTCCAGCACTGCCCCGTTCTGCTTCCTAAAGCTGGCCATACACCTTACAATTATCTGCAGATTTTCTGTGGTCAGATGGAAAAGGTGCAACAGATTCCTCCATCTACACTTACCTGTGTGGATGGAGTAATCTCCACCCGGTCCAATCTGTTGCACTTTTTCCATCTGACCACAGAAAATCTGCAGATAATTGTAAGGTGTATGGGCAGCTTAACTCCCCTCCTCGCTGGATCAGCTGTGTGTCCCCTCTGCCAACACAGGTGGGGGTGAGCAACGGGGATTGGAGTGGAACAGACAGAAGCTTGCAGCCGGCCTCCAACTGGGAGGACAGAAGCTAGGGATGTGCTGCATTTTTGAATGTTTTTGTACTATCGGCATTTTGCCCATAGTGCCATTTTCAGCCTACGCTTCGGTTCATCCCTAATTATAGTTGCACATTATAGTTTGTGTGTGTGTGTGTGTGTGTGTGTGTGTGTGTGTGTGTTTAAAGCGTAACACAAGCTTTTAGGCCTCTCTCACACTGCATTCAGATCTGCTTGAGAAACCGACAAGCGGATCTGCTCAGCAATCCAATGGAACTCTAGCAGCCGGATGTAAATAGACCTGTTGGTTTACATCTGATTACCAGGAAAAGCTTTCTGTTTTGGTGGACACGAATGTGACGCATAAGAGGTAATTGCATGTAAACCGACACATGTCCGTCTACATTCGACTGCCCATAGACCTAACATGGATTCAATCAGTTCAGTTTTTCAGATCTGAGGAAAAAACTGAATAGACAGGGATGTCACTAAAGTGACATCAGTTCTGTACTGCTCCGATCAGCCAGGGATCTAAATGCTGGCCAGACTGGACTCCCGTTAGGGGCTTTATGCTATGTTTAACTAATTTATGAAAGCTCTAATGTTATAGATTCAAAAAAACTATTTCTTTGAGAATGAAGGGCCATTGCTATAGCTGAGCCCTCCTTTTGAAAATACTAGCTTCCTGACTGTCATACTGATCCTGTAGGTTCAACACTGTCGCTCACCTTAAAGTAGTATTTAGCTCAGGAGTTTTCGCTTCACTCAGTTTTGCTGACTGCATTCTTGTTCCTGGTCAGTGAGTCAGAAAATACTGATCCCAGAGCCTGGCCAAGGGAGGTAAACATTGGCAATAATTTTTTTTTTTTTCCCCCTCCTATTTCTCTCATTACGTGTTTCTTTAACACTTTGTGTGATCCTTGGTAACTTATGCAGACTCTGGTGTTTTTGATTTCACTGTCTGAAAGAAATGCTTCTATGTAATCAATGTAGGCAGGATGTGTATCCTAAAAATAAAGCGTGTGGTTGATTTGTCACCCGGTGCAATGTTTGCTTCCAGAGACATGATCCTCCCTTCAGCAGTATTCCTTGCTTGCACTACAAGAAAATGAAGGATAATGAAGAGAAGGAGAAAAATGACTTCTTTTCAACCCCCGCTCCCTCAGAGTCTGTAGGTGAAAAGTCATTGGAGCGCAGTTCTGAGGAAGCAGAACCTGCCACTGGCGATAGCTTTGTTTCTGATGACAAAGAGCGTACAAGTGAAGTCGCACAAGGAGCACTGGGACAAGTCAGAGCCAAAGTAGAAATTTGCAAAGATGAATCCATTGGTGAGTTTAGCTAAATATTACAAGACTAGATGTAAATATTGGGAGCCCCGCATTTTAAAAGTTGGTGACAAGTGGGTGGGGTAAAGCTCTACACCAGCCAAATATCTTTGTTTTGCTAGAGCTATTGGGGTAATTTCCCTCATGAAAATAAAGTAATGGGAACTCTCTCTCCATAAGAACATATTTTTAAAAACAAGAACACATTTTTAGTGGTGACGATTTTCACTTCGGATTACTTATTACAGCCTATGTCTTCCTGTCCTAGTGACTAGGAATGCAGGAAAAAAAGGGTAAAACTCCCAGTAGGGTCATACAAATAGAAAAGCCATATAGAAATTTAGGTTAGCATGAAGAAGCGTTAGTTTGACTTCTGTACCTTTTTTCTGTCCTGCTTTAAAACCTAACTCTTCCTCGCTCAATTAAGCTGCCCCCTCTCCCCAGCTTTGTTCATTTTAGCCTTGGAACCTTTCGTGGCAGCCAACCATTAAAGCAGACCTTTACACTCCAAACTCAAATTCTACCAATGCTTCCCTCTATCTATGATGATTAATGATAACAAAGACATGTTAGGTGTAAAATGCTGTGATATTGAAATACTTACACTTGCAGAGCATTAACTTCTTTGAAAGTCAAATTACTTCAGTTTGTCAACGCAATGCACACTGGGATTGCTTTGTCATTGAAATGAGATCTCATTCTTGGGGGGAAAAAATGGCTTGCGAGATTACTCTTTACAGCATGCACAGTGGATCAGTAATTTCGTTTTATCATGTGCACGAGATTTGCGGAGCATCGTCCGAAGGGGGTCTGGCCGTGGTAAATGAATGATTTACCTTGCTGATGCAAGAAGGCACGGCAGGAGCTGCTTTGCCCTCTTCAAACATGGCCACCTACTGCATTGTGTTGCCGAAAATTTAAACATAAATGGTATTTCTAAAAGAGGATAAAGCATTTTACATTTTAATTTGTTAATGCTTATGGGAATGTTTTTTTTTTTTTTTTTTAGTGTTTTTTTTTAATATTCCATACTGCAGTTTAAAGTTCTGCTTTAAAGCCAAGCCATTTAGAGGTTAAAATAGTAAGAGTTCAGCACAAAACCATGCCTGACCTCTCAGCATCCCATACTTGGGAGTCCTTATGAATCCCTCTATGATGCAAATAATACTACCATATTCAAAGAGCTATTGGGCCTCCTGGCAACATGGCACTCCCTCCCATTTTTTTGTGGATTGGAAAAATCCACGCAATCAAAATGACATGTTGAAGAGCCCTATTTCAGACATTTTCCCATTGAATTCCCTAGCTATATTTAGGCAATGAGTAAAATATAAATATAAAATTAATCTTAGATTCCAAAAGCCTAACAATTACAAGCAGCACTGTGTATCACCATAAACTTTCCAGAGGCCCTTTGGGGAACCATGTTTAGGAAATACATTTCGGCAGCTCGAATGGCTTCCTTTCATGCTACACAAGAGATGACCCTCTGGCTTTAACCTCTATATAAGACAAACCACGACTGACACAACACTGTAACCCTAAAAAGATGCGGCATTGTAAAACCCTCCAGTAGCTTAATCTTCCTCTAGTAGGCACTGTACGCTGCCTAATTCTCTAACAGGCCTATGATGATCCCCAATCTTTCCAACATCTGAACACCACCACCTTGCTGATGATATAAGCATGCTACGCACCCAGGAGACCAGCTTTCTGTTCCCTAGCCAGACACTACGCCTCTAGTTCCAAAAACATCCATCCCCCAACACCCCTTCCTCCCCAATTACTACTCCAATTGGAGTCTTTTCTCTCCCACACTCTCTCCCCCCACCAACTTCATGCTTTTGGGTATTTTGTTTTTGTTCTTCCTCAGCCCCATGCCCAGAGGCAGATATACTGTACACCTTGCTGATGGTCACTTTGTACCAAGGTGCCTTTGACCCACCAATTGTCTTTATCTGCCCCACTTTAAAAAAAAAGCATACTGGCTTAACGTTTTAGTGGAGTTGGCAACCTAATATTTGAATTGTTGAAATCTTTAGATGCTCTGTTCGCATCCAGTGTATTGAACCTTGTGTAAACTAAAGTACTGGTTTATTCCACAAGTCTGTCACCTGTTCAATCATCTTTTGTTTTGTAAAGCTTTAATATGAATGTATGGACTGCTGTGCTTTTTTATGTGTCTTTGCACTTCGTTCATAAAAAGTATGTGAGTATGAGTAACCATCTGTGTTTCTCCCTTTACAAAATTAGACATTGGTGCCATGGCTTGCTCTCTCTGAAGTGACATTTCCTTATGTTGGTGCTTCAATGCAGGCTCTTGGTATACTTTTTTCAAGAAGTTCAATAAAGTGACCATTTCCATTTTTTTATGTTTCTGTTCTGTATCAGACATTGAAGATTTCCGAAGCTACTTGGAAAAAAGATTTGATTTTGAACAGGTTACTGTTAAGAAATTCAGGACATGGGCAGAAAGAAGGCAGTTTAACCGTGAAGTAAAACGCAAGTTAGCGGAATCCGAAAGACCAATTTTACCTGCCAATCAGAAACTTATAACATTGGCTGTTCAAGACGCGCCAACAAAGAAAGGTATGTTTCACTTAAGCGTTTATGTTTTTAATCACGTGGTCAGACCATGCTTCTGTGATTTCTCCAGTGTCTTTGAACGTCATGTCCGTACTCTACAATCTGTGTGGAAAATGCTTACCTACTATATAACTCCTAGTAGGTGCATGTAGTGATTCCTACTTCTGGAGCTCGCACATTCCTGCTGCAGGAATTCCATATTTGCCATTTAGAAGCTGCAGCTGTCACCTGTTCAAGTTAATGTTCGGGTCGCAGCAGCCACATTTGAAAGCGGCCGTGCGCTGGCACTCCATATGTAATATTACATGCGGATTGCCAATGCACTGCGGCTTTCAAATGAGTCCGCGGTCACCGATGGTTAACTTATACGGGTGACAGCTGCCACTTCTAAACGGCATATTTGGGACTCATGCTGCATGATTTCTTGCGTTTCTGATGCAGGAATCCCTAAATGCAACTACCATGGTAGATGTGAAAAATCTTTGGCATACATTAGAGGTATCTGTTGCTTAGCATGGGTACTCGATTATATACAAAGACAGCATCAACCTACCAACCCATTTACAGAAAATTCAATCCAGTGAAACCCTTACGTTCCTGTTGCTGCCACAGAGCTAACCAATGATGGGCTACAAATCTGATCCTTTTTGTTCTATGAACATGATCTAAAGTGTCATAAACGCAACCACTATTCCCTAAACAACAAATATGGGGCATATTTAGCAAAGTGAATACATTTCCAACTAACTAAAGCTAAAATCTCACCTGATAGCATCTCCTTAGGGAGGAAGTCTACATACCATTATAGTTACATCCCTGAACCTGGCAAATATTCCACATCCCTTAGCAAATACAAACCAAATGTAATCCTAAATACAAAGTATACGTCAAAACTATTGTCTGCAAGCTCTTCGACAGTCTACCAAATGTCACATCTCCCGATTTATTTAATGTGGATTTTGTCAATGAAGACAGGCCCCAGATGGGAAAGTGCACCATACTAAACTTAATCATTCAAACTGACCTCAACAGAGTGTCCTCTCTGCACTTAGATGCAGAGTAGGAATTTTATAGCATGGATTGGTTCTACACCTGCCTAATGTGAAAAGGTTTGGGTACAATCCCTCTTCAAAAGTATATACACCAATTAAATGATATCTAAAGAATTTTTAATTACCAATTTTACAACACGGGGTGCCCCCTCGCCCCTATTCTTTACCATGACCATTGAACTCTCACCATAATTAAATTCACCCTTCCCCATCACAGGCTTTCAAATGGGAACCTGAGATAGGTTTATTTGCATATGTGGTGTTTATGGTAAGAAGTCACCCCACCTCCTTACCCACTATATAAGCACTACTAAAATCCTTCATTTAGGACTACAACAAGGTAAATGAAAATAAGTTGCTAATATTAGGACTACAAATCGCTCCACAACATAAAATATTTCTACAATCTCAATATCCGATACTCGTGAAAACTTACAGCTTTTAAGTACCTGTGTGTCCCTATCACAGCTACTCTATCCTGAATATTAACCTTAACTACACACCTGCACTGGAGAACTTACCCAAGTGGTCTGTTTGTCAGATACCAGTGGTTTGGATAAAAGAAATGTCCATGGGACCAGAAACTATCCTTAATGATCACTTTGTTTTGAAGCTTATGCCCACTGCACTGCACTATTGTGTTAACAGGTTAGTAGATATTGTATTGTCTCATATAAAGAATGAGTGTCCTGTCTATGCGGAGAACTCTACCTAAAATATTGGTCTGCGGGACAACACTGTAAGAAACTTGCTGTTTTTGGCTTTTTGATAAAGAACATCTCTTTGCTGGCTCTCTGGACAACGTTAATCAAAGATATAATTGATGGAAAGATTGCCCCTTGGCCCCAGCAAAAGAAAACCTAAGCCTCAGTCTAGAGAACCTTCTGTTTCTGCAGCTGAAGAGTTGCTTTTGTTTCTCCAAGGTGTCCAAATCTAACTCGGTGACCCAGTTCCATCACCGATCCTGGTCCTCTAAATCTGCAGACCAGTCCCCTTCATAATGAGGGGGAACCCCCCCTCCCTTTTTCAAAGGGGGGTTGCCGGTGGTCTTTTTTTAGCCTTTCTAACCACTTGGACCACAAGCATATCAGACGCAGTACATCCCAAAGATTTCTCTTTGATGTTTGGATGTAGTCAGAGCTGTTCAGGTTTCTCTCTCGGCTACTGTACACCTTTTCCCCACAGACTGATTACTCTTTCTTCTGTGTACAGCAGGGTGGTGTTTTTTTTTTTTGTTTTTTTTTTTTTTTTTTTTTTTTTTTTTTTTTGCTACTGTGCTTTGGTGATGGATGTCTCCTCTCTACTGAGTGGGGGTTTAGTTACCCATTTTTTTCATAACCCAAGATCTTCTGGCTGTGTTCAGCCAAGACAGCTACCCCGCAGCTTCTAGATTAGTGCCCCACGGCAGCATGATCAAGGACTGTACCCTTTTGTCATCCCTGATGGTTCCTATAAGGGACAACCTGCCTCTCATTCAATTGTTGCTAGTTGGCTTTGGCAGATTATTCTACAAGCCTGTAGGCTTAAGGATAACGTTCCAGATTTTCCTCACAAAGGCACACTTTAGTAGTAGATTGGTGCTTCTTGGGCTTTTTGGCATCTGTTTCACATATTTACAAGGCTACTCCCTGGCCTTCTGTTTCTACATTCTCTAAGTTTTACCAGGTAACATTTATGCTATTTGACCTGCCCCTTGTTTTTACACTGTTTTGGCTTGTTAGTGTTTTTGTTTGCTGCGTTGCCACCCTTCAGTTGGACTGATTTTAAAAATTACCAGTAGTCTTGGGATTCTTCTGATCCTGTGTCCCTAATGAACGATGGGGGAAGAAACAGGATTTATTTTACTGACCATAAAATATGTTTACGTTTAATAAGGGACACAGTGTCCAACCCCTCTGTGTTCCGGATCAACTACTAATTGCTTTTCTAAATCATGGGAGTGGGAGGAATTATACTTGTTCGGCGGCTGACTCTTTTTGTTTACCAGTGTCACAGAAACGGGTAAGAAGTTCTCCGATCTCCAGTGGTGTAAAAGCCTAAAAAATGTGTTCAATTCCTCACTGCTCCAGTCATATACCACTGATACTGTACATCTACCTCAAGTTGGAGACCATGTGGAATAACTGGTCAACTGGTTCCTTTTATTCACATTCTGATATTGCAAATCTCTCAGGTCCTATTAGAACAGAGTCTTCTTGCAATGAGGGACCATTATACTCCTCAGTGATTTATCTTGCCTAGCTTTACTACATTTCATATTGATGATTTCCACAGTGCTGATACTGATGTTGGACGAGAAGGCCTGCTGGCTATGCTGATGCCTTAAGAGTTCCCTTTACTGGAACTAAGGGGCCAAGCCCAACCCCTGAAAAACAACCCCACACCATAACCCCCCCAAGTGTTGGCACTCCAGCCAGCCTGAGCTATGTTTGTCTGTAATTATAGAAGTGCAATGTACCCTGTGCAACCCTATGCATGGACTTCTGGCCTCTATTTTCTTCAACCTACGGCCCAAAGCTATGTCACTCTGCCTGTATATCATTTGATAATACAACCTGTAACAACGATGTTGTAAAATTTTAAATGGGAATTTATCATTTAAAGAAAGTGTAAATGTAACAAACATTTTACCTTCTCAGTGTTTAGTGTATTTGACTAAATAGACGCCGGTACATTATTTTGTTTAAAATATATCGATTCAAATTTGATGTTGGTAGCAACCATGTACAGTTACTGTTTGTGTCAAGAATGTGCTACAGCTTGATATTTGCAAAACATTCTTAAGTATTTTGTCTAATCCCGTATTTACTTTTTTTTCCTCTTACAACTAACCATAATTGTTTTCTTACAGAATTTGTTATTAATCCCAATGGGAAATCTGAAGTCTGCATCCTCCATGAATATATGCAGAGAGTCCTAAAAGTTCGTCCTGTTTACAACTTTTTTGAATGTGGTAAGGATGGTTTCTCTGTTTAAGGCGGGCAGGCTGATCGACAAAAATAGAGCAGATTCCTTCATCAACACTTAGTGTGCCGATCCAAGAATCCCGCTGTTTGCGTTGTATTTTGACAGCAGCCGCTGTCGGAATACCCAAACAGAGCCGGAGGCTCATTGGCTGCCAGCTCTGATCGTACAAAGATTTTCTGGCCAGCTCCTTTGATTAGCTGATTGGGGGATGCCGACAGCGGGACCACTGTGCAAATTTTGTCTGGTTACTCAAAAAACGGCCGAAATTCACACAGTGTATGGGTACCTTAAGGGAAGCCAGTGGGTTCCACCAGCTGGAGGAGGAGGACCCTAGGTGCTACAAAAAAATGTAGGAGACTGGCTCCCCTAATAGCTAAATTCCCACCACAGTTTTTCATACTGTCCAAAGTATTATACAGTCTCATGTGGTTTCTTCTTTTTTTGGGGTGGGGGGTGGGCGAGCTAGATAATATTGGTCCTTTGTAGTTTTCAGGTCTGCCATCCAAGTTCATGCAGATCCTGATACTGTGAACCCTGCTTGACTGTGTTTAGTTGCATTGGTGTGTTTTGAGGTGCTTGCCCTAAGGGAATTTGTAGCTGCTTCTTGAAGCTGGCTGTTCTTCTGTATGTGGGACCTCTGGGGCTCATTTTCTGGCTGGAGGGTGCTGTGAAAGTGGTTTGCCCACCTTCACTTTTTGCTCCCATTTTTATTTTGTTTTTTATTTCCCCCCCGCCCCCCTCCTAGCACTTAGGCCAGGTTACTGGGGCCATTTTCTTGTAGCTCTGCTTTATGTATAGGATGCACAGTGGCCATTTTGCAGTGTTTTTGGTCTCTACGTGGTGGTATTACTGCGTTTTCCACCTTCTAGTATTTACCAGATCTGAGAGCTGCAAGTACGCATTTGGTCTACTACTGAAACCTTGTATTGCAACAGTGTAAACTACTTGGCCCTCTTGCAGCAATTTTAACTTCCTCCTCACCAGTGATACAAAGGCACTCTCAATTTTTACATCAGCAAAAATGTAAGAGATGGCTTTTAATATAACTAGAAAATATTTTGCCTGATCATTTTATAAAAGCACAATAGCATTTTCAAACACTAAAAACTATAGAGTTAATATAATATTAAACCAAAGGACAACCCTAGTAAATGACCATAACAGCTTATAAAACAGAGCATTAGTATTCTAGAAAGAAAACACCTTAGTTGTATGTATTTTTACATGTTTTGTTTGTCTCATTGTCTGTCCTCTTCCCAAAAAAACAAAAAACTTTATTTGGCACTAATATTAGGCTGACCATATTTCCTTGAGCCAAAAAGGGACAGTTTTAATATTTCGTATTCATGAAAAAGTAGGATAACAAAAGTTTTATGACACTATAGTAGATGTATAGGGAAATGAAGAAGAGGAAGATTAAAAAAAAAAACCACACTTTGCAAATCTAGGCTTGTGCTTAATTTACCTAACTTGGTCTGTCTGTATTTCTTTCCAGCTAAATGATCACAATTCCACTCATCACACATAAAAATATCCTGTTACCCAACATAAAAAATTGAGAGCAAGCTCAATGCATCACCACTGAACCTGCACAGCAGCTTCCCTGCTTCCACTAACCACAGCCCAGAACAATTAAGTTTTCGCAGAAAGATATTCCATTATTTCGTATATGTTACGCATTTTAACACTAGCATGTAATTAAAGCAGAACATATTTTCTTCCTGGTAACAGTTGCCACTTTTTAGATCATTGCTTGTCGGAGAAGCACAGAGACTTACTGGTTAATTTTCTTTTATTTCACAGACTTTTCCATAAAAAAATAGTCTTGCTATAGGTCCATTTTCCTGGTGTACATTATCATAATAGTTGTGACTAGCAGTGTAGACTGTTCACCGCGCTGTACCTGAAATTAGGCCGCCTGGCAACATGGGGCTGCAGTTGTGGTCGCCTTAACATTTATATCAATGCGGCCGACCTGTAAACGGGTCTAAATAGTTTTTTAGGGGGTTTTTTTTTTTTTTTACCAAAACAGGACAGGGTAAGAAATGCCTCAATAACGGTACTGTCCTGTTCAAAACGGGACGTATGGTCAGCCTAATTAATATAGCTTTGTTACACCTAAATGCAGCATTTGTGAAATATTGTTTGCTTGAGCTCCCTTCAAACATCCCACTAATAAAAATGTGTAATTTCTTTGTTCTTTTTATTATTATACAGGATTTATATAGCGCCAACAGTTTGCGCAGCGCTTTACAATATAGGGCAGACATTACAATCACAATACAATTCAAGACAAGATGGGAAGGAGGGCCCTGCCCCTGAGGGCTTACAATCTAAAAGGGAGGGGGAAGTGATACATGAGGAGGGAGCTGTGTGGGGATGAGTTGTTCTTGCTTGGAATATGTGTGTATACAGTGATACATTGTAAAGTCTTGTTTTTTTCAATTCCATAGAAGGCAGAATGTGAAACTAAGCATGATGAAAAAAAAACACTGTTTTTATAGGGGTTTCCAGTTATTTTATATTTTCTTTTTGTTTGTTGGGAGACAACACAGATAATTGGGCTGTACGCCCAGTCTATAAGGGTGAAGGGCAGTGATCAGTTGGTTCATTCCGGCAAAGTTACAGAGACCGCTTCAAAAAGTTGAAGGTTAGCTAATGGGTAATGCTTGCATCAGCTCTTCACCTTTTTCTTAGAATTTCCTAATTTTGTATAGTTATTCTGGCACAGTAACTCAAAAGTATTGATGCCAGAGGAACAGCATAACGGCTAGGCAGTGAGCATTTTCAGATGGCGGTCAGCAATGGCCGCTCCTGTATTTCTTTTTGTAAAGGATATGTTAAGATATATGTATTTGCTTGAATTGCACTGATCTTGTTTTTAAAAATATTGTACAGAAAACCCAAGTGAGCCTTTTGGAGCATCTGTGATTATAGATGGAGTGACCTATGGTAGTGGGACAGCAAGCAGCAAAAAGCTGGCGAAGAATAAAGCTGGTAAGGTCCACTGAGTATTTCTTAAATTCTCCCTAATACTTCAGTACAATTTCCATAAACCATTTATTTCTCTTCTTTCAGCTCGAGCTACGTTAGAAATCCTTATTCCTGATTTTATAAAACAGACTGCTGATGAAAAGCCTAAAGACAGTGATGAGCTGGAGGTGAGAAAAGTAAAAAAACTATCAACTCTATTAATTTCCTTGCACTCCCACATTCAGGACTTCTCATGTGCCTTTCCTTTCCCCCAAAATTCCCTCATATTTTACTGTTTGGCGCTTTTTATCCCACCCTTGAAATTTGCTCAAGACTCGGATCAGATTGCGTGTCTGTGAAGTGACCAGATATTCTCTGCAGCCTCTAAGCCATTGTTTCCTCATTTGACAAGCGGTCACTTTAGATATTCAGCTTGCTCACTTCCCTTACATTTCTCATGCCTCTACATTGTTCCCTTAAACCTCTTGCATTTTATTAAACCTGCATGTACTAGTCTTCTGATCATTTTATGCATGTTGTATTCTGTTCTTTATTATATTACCTTGTACAGCGCCACGGGAAAAGATGCTACCATATACGCTGATTATGAAACCTAGGATTGAATATTTATCTAACATCCACTTGTTCTGTGGTGCATTAAAGACCATTTCCCCTCAAATCCTGAAGACTGTGATCTGTGGATTCCTGCAGCCAGAGTCACTGGTGTGTGCGAATAGCCGCTCAGCCTTTACAAAGCAATGACAGGCTGAAGGCATCAGCTTTATATAGGCTGAGCGGCAGCACCTATTAACATACACACCTGTGATTTGTCTAGTTGTGCTGCTGCATTGTCATCTGCACGCACACGTGGCCATGCTGACATACATTGGGCATAACACTCTGTTGTCACTTTTGAGAAGCCCAACCAGAGCAATGTTGTGCAGTCGATGTTGGAGCGAGCGCATGAAGATGGGAACTGGCTGAAAGAGACTGGAGTAGACGAGCAAAAAAAATGGTGGAAACCTTATTTTATGAAAAAAAGTCTGCTGTTTGATGCAGTGCTTTAGCTAATTTTAATTGTAGTCCAGTTAGTTTATATTATGAGTACAAGTCGTGTTTAAAAAGGATTAAGTTACACATATAGGGCCATGTATGACTAGTCTTAAAGCGGAAAAAAAGTCCACTGAGGATCCCTGGGGCTTTTGCAATAGTGCATAAGTTTGCACTATATATCTGCACATTATAGCACTCTTGCCTGCCAAAGTGTCCCCCATACCAATGCAACGGCCTTCATCTCCCTTCTTGCTTCGCTGCAGATGCTGCTGTTTTTTGATTTGTTGGCATGGGATGATATAACTTTCACTCGGTGTACGTTCAAAAGAAAGTGTGTGTGTGTGTGTTTTAAAGTGCTTCAGAACCCCAAACATGAAGATTATGATGGCGCATATGCACATTGTAAGAAGCATTTAGTAGCTTTTATTTCTTCCTTTTAATCTAGTATTTCAACCATATCAGTATTGAGGATTCACGAGTGTATGAGTTGACAAATAAAGCTGGACTTTTGTCACCACATCAGATTCTACTTGAGTGCCTTAAAAGGTAGGTTTCTTCATGTAAAGCCTACAGATCTCTTCAATTAAGTCACATACTTGGCTTCATTTATAGTTTCTAATATAAATACATGGAGACAGCCATATTTTCTTATTTCCTCAACAGGTTCTGCTTTACATTTCTAACCAAAGGAGTTTGCTTTACTTTTTACAAGTCTTTTGGCCGGATCTTTGTATTTGATTTACAGTAAACTCCCAGTTATCCGGCACCCATTGGGATTGGTAGATGCCGGATAACTGTAGCTTCTGGTTGCTTGAGATTTACTGTTAACTCTCAAGCAACAACTGCTGGCTAGATTCTGTTATTGGCTATTTAAAATTGCCAGAGCCAATAGCAGGCTGGCTATTGCACACACCTACATTCACCTACCAGCTGAGGAATCTAGCAATCTGCCGTAGCAAGATGTGAACAGAATTTTGTTAGCAACTAAATAAACTTAGTTGCTAACAACATTTTTTAGTGTGCACATGTCTATCAAGCAACTGGCAAAAAAAGTGAGGACATGTGGTTTTTTTTTCTGGTTGCTTGAGTGCTGGATAATGGGGAGTTTACTGTAGTAATACATACAGCTTTCAGGGGAAAACAAATAGTTTTCTCTTCCTAAATTAGTGGTTTCCACTGCCGGGATAGATGAGTCACTTTGAAAATTGCTTTAAAGCTGAATTCCCAGCAGATGTCCACGTACTCGGTTACATTTTATACAAGGAAATGGCTTTACCTGCCAGAGATTTGTACTTCAGGCCATCCAGTCCTAACATTTACTCAGCCATAACACACTGCACAGCCAGGCAGATGACACCACTTTTCTCTTCTGCAGGCTGATTAGGTCAGCAGCCTCTATTAGCATGTTCCTTGTTGTCACACTTGCATGCATCACACCTAATTGGCTCTCGGTGCTGTTCTTTCCTCTCCCAGCATGAGCGGATTAAATCGAGAGAGGATGCTACCAAGTCTAAATCGGGTACTTGGTGTATTTCCACTTTTTGATGCAGGATTGGGATAACACCTACAGGCAGTCCCCGAGTTACAAACACCCGACTTGCATACGACTCCTACTTACAAACGGAGGCAATTACTGTACAGCAGGGGTAGTTGTAATGCTACTGCGCTCATGCTGACGAGAAGTGCCCGCCTTTTTGGGTCTGGTTCATCATACTGTACATACGTTGCAAGATGTTGGCTCTTGTCACTGTGAGGTTTTTACTGCTGTCTGTATCCTCATTAGAAAGATTTAATCTCACTTCCTGTCCTTGAGACAACAGGAAGGGAGAGGAAATCTACCCCTAGGAAGGGAAGTCCTTGTTTACACGACAACCCAACATTTTCAAAATCCAATTGTCACAGGGACAGAAAGTGAGGGGAAATCTTCTGAATAGGGGCACACACAGCAAAACAAACATTACAGGAGGTAAACCCTTCCCCATGCTATCCAAAACAAACCAAATACATTTTTTGACTGGAGTTGCACCTAAAAAAATTTACATGCTCCAACTTGCATACAAATTCAACTTAAGAACAAACCTATAGTCCCTATCTTGTATGTAACCCGGGGACTGCCTGTATTTTATATTTAAGTGTTCTCATTAAAAAAAGAAATATGTAAGTGTGCTATGTAAAGGAAAATGCATAACGAAGTAGGGTTTTCTCCAATCTAGAAATACACAAACACTAGTCAGGAGGGAAATGACAACTTCTTGAAGGTATTAGTGCTGCCATCCTGATCTTCCTCCGTTTACGTGGTCTTACATCACAGAACAAAAATCAGTGTCTGAGAAGTGCTGTAACATAGCCAAGAGTTGTAAAGTCCCCTTAATGAGTCCCTTTCTCCCCAGTTAGGCATGTCATTCTTATCTCCCCCCCCCCCCCCCAGGTGAACTAGGTCTGTCATTTCCCTGTTACATTGGCCATACTGGACTCATGTTTTGTGATTGTTTGCAGAAACCATGGAATGGGTGACACATCTATAAAGTTTGAAGTGATTCCTGGCAAGAACCAGAAGAGTGAATATGTTATGACTTGTGGAAAGCATACAGTGAGAGGCTGGTGTGAGTTCTGAGTTCTTTTTCTTGGCTTTTTTTCACAGCAGTCATTGTGATTAACTCTCATGGGTTCATTTTTCTTAATAAGAATATTTTCGATTGGTTTTGTAGGCAAAAATAAGAGGGTTGGAAAACAGTTGGCATCACAGAAAATTCTGCAGCTACTCCATCCTCATGTGAAAAACTGGGGTTCCCTACTACGTATGTACGGTAGAGAGAGCACCAAGATGGTGAAACAGGTTCGTTATAGAAATTTTTTTGCAGCATTAAGAAAAGTATGAAAACACTTGGCTGTTTATGAACTTCTTCTGTCGTACAATAAAGCTGTATATTGTGTTTGCCTTTGTGATTTGTAATGTATGTGTGCCCGAGAGATCATGATTCCATTTCTTCTTATTTCATCAGGAAACCGCAGATAAAAGTGTGATAGAACTCCACCAATATGCTAAAAAGAATAGGCCAAATCTTCATATTCTGAATAAGCTGCAGGAAGAGATGAATAGACTTGCACAGGAGAGGGTAAGTGGCAATCCTATATCCTGAACTTTTTGCCTTTTGAGACTTTACATCTGTTTTGCTGAATGACAGTATGGAGGCTTTTTGTTTGTTTCTAGTAATCACCTTTTTAGCCATGAGGCTCAACTTTAGCCAAAACATTTCAAATACTGTGGAAGGGTTACAGCCTCTGTTTTATCATACTTGTGATTTCTTCTTGCTTCCTGTCAGACAGAACCAGAAGTTCTGGTTTAATATGGAAGACAGGAAGAAGGGTTAATTCCCACCCCCAACAGGAACATGTCCCAAATTCTCTATTAGAGTGAGGAAGATTTAGAAACTCTACCAGAGTGTTAAATATTACACGCATCTTGATAGAAGAGAAATCTTCCCTATGGCTACACACTGGGGGGAATTTATCAAAACTAGAGCCAGTGCCCATGGCAACCAATCGGCATCTCTCCAGTTCAGTTAAGCTTTGAAAATGAAAGAGAGAAGCTGATTGGTCGCCATGCACAGCTGCTCCAGATTTTGTCTGCTTGAGTTTTGATAAATTGCCCCCACTATTTAAACCTTGTGTATTAGAGACAATAAAGGTGCCAGTCCAGGACACACAAGAATTGAAAGAACAGCTCTGAGAAACTTTAATAATGAAAAATACAAATAGGCACCCATAAAATATAAATAATAGATGGCTAAAATGGCCACTGGAAACACGAAGTAATATGTGCTGGGCTTGAGCTGAAGTGTTGATGATATTTTTCAGAGTAGTCTTATTTCTTGTAGCCCTTGCGAAGGTTTTTTTTTTTTTTGCCGCCAAAACATATTGGCTGAATTTTGCATTCTTGTGGAGTCAATAAAAGTTTGGACCCAGATGTTGGTTTGGCACTTGTTTTATAGTCTCTAGTACATATGGGATTCTCTCTAACCTCCCGATCCTCTCTGTTCCTCGAACACTGATGGGATGGGCATAGCTGCTCCCTGCTTCTAGAGAGGCAAAGCCATTTGTCAACCAGCCAGTGGGGTAGATCTCAACAGTATTGTCGGGATCCGTCTCTGCTGCGGCGTGGTTGTGTGCTCTCAGCATATTCATATCACCTAATGACGTTCGTATATGTCCTCCTGTTAACCTGAAGAGTAGAACTATGGCCAAAAAGGGTTAGGCCATAGTTCTCCTTTTCTAGGTCTTCCCACCGACCAAAGACTTGAGTCCAGCGCCTCATCCCTGCCTTCTCTAGAATTAAAACCTGACAGGGTTTGAGTATACTTTACAGACGGCATTTTTTTTTTTGCCCTAGCTGAGCTGCGATTGGGCAGACAGCCTGACTGGTTGAGTGGGTGGGTTTTGGTCTAGTTTAGGTTATAAACAAAATTGCAACATTTCAGAGCTCTACATATGTTGGGTAAGTGGCTCAGTCAGTCCCGTAGTGGTTGGTAATTGTCATAATGTGTCTTCACATACCTAACTGATTAAATTATCATGTGAGAAGCAGATCTGCCAGTGCATCACTCATGTTTGAGCACACCTCCTACATAATTTACCATGCCCTTCATGTTGTATCATATTTACTTATGAGACTGCTAGAGGTTAAGGTAGTTGAAACGGTTGTTTTTGTGCATAATTTAAGATTTTGATACTGTATTGTAAATTAGTCATGTATAGTAAATGATTATACCTTTTTAACGTGACTTGTTCGGAGGTATAGCTGCCATTTTGTGGTGATAGATTTTCCTTGTAGGACGTTGTATGGACCATATTTGGCAGGTTAAGCAATGTTCTTGCAGGCCTCTGCGATCTGATCATGACTTAAACCTGGCCTTTAACATCGAGATAAAATATTTATATAGTTTCTTTGATAAATGTTGCCTTCTTATTAACAGGAAGAGACGAGGAAGAAGCCGAAGATGACGATTGTTGAATCTGCACAGCCCGGCAATGAACCCCTGTGCACAGTAGATGTCTGACTGGAGCAATAAGAAACTTTGGAGGCTCGCTTTAATAAACTGTTCAAGGGATGCTGAAGATGATTGTGATATGCAAACAGGGCTGCTTCCTTATGCATAGTCCGTTTTTACTTCTTCTGCACAACACTGCAGAAATCTTACCTCCCTTACGAGATTGTGTGCCATTTCACCCTGTTTGAGTTCTGTCTTGTGGTCCAAAAGAGCATTGCTGAGATGTGCACATCTAATAGGTTTATGCATTATGTTTAGGACATCAAGCACTTTCCCCTTTTTAAGGGACAAATCTGGTAACTGTGCATTGGTCTTGTATATGAAACTTCTGTAAATCAAGCGTTAAATATTTGAGTGGCCGCATCATACTATGGTAACCACTGCAATATATTTCTTTGTGGTTACTGCACACACAATGGATAAATATTTGAATCATGAAATGAGATCCTTGCACATAGTGAGACTAAATTAAGCGAGACACAGAGCACAATATTCAGCACATACTTGGCAATCCGGTATTAGTGCTTTGCACACATCTCGGCTGCTTGTTCCATCCAAAACAAAATGTTGTTCTGTCACATCTACTGCACTGAGAGCATTGTGCTGCAGATGTGCCTTCTATCGGCAAGTTCATTGTAATAAACTGCTGATTTTCGTGTGAAGAATATTTGCTCACGTTTTGAAAGCACATCCCGTATGCAAATGGTATGCCATTGTACTATGCCCTTTAATGGCTGCATCAGTCTGCAATGCAAATACTACTCTTGTCACTGTAGTGCACACACATTGTGTGCGACATAAGGGGCCTGTGCAGTCACACTGCCTTGAATTGTAGAGGTCACATGAGCAGGAAGTTACACTAAGGGTGCTCAAGCTGTCTGATTTATGTTCACTTTTTAAGCACACAAAGGGTGACAAGCTCTTTCAGAATGACAAAGGTAAACCTACCTGAAACCTTTGTTTCTGTTGGGCATCAATATGTTTTTAGAAAGCAAATAATATTCCTCAATAACCGAGGCTTTAAGTATTAGTTTTAAGACAGATGTGCTTGTATTTGATGCATTTTTCTACTTCTGGATATAGATATATTCCTAGTTCAATATTACAGGCTGCTTATGTTGTCTTTTTGTTTAGTTCTATTTAACAAATGATGTCTGACCAGATTTGAATGATCGCCAGTAAATGTTAGGGGAATCCTGTCACTTATTACAAATATGAATGTTGGTAAACGTATGTGGTGGATTGTACACTTTGCGGTGACCTTTTTATTGCAGTGTATGTGTTTTTAGTAAAGCCTTATGTGAACCAAAGGCAATGGAGGCTGGGCCATGCTATGCTCATTCCACTCTTTTGCGTCTTTGAAAGAAATGCAGGGTACAAAAGTACTACCATTGTTGTTTGTTGTTCTGCATCATACAATGGGGAGGATTGTGAAGAAGCTATTAAAATGTACTTGGGTTTTTGTGCCTATCTGGTATAGATTCACTGAATGTTGTCTAGTGGTCACTTCTATGTACAGATATTGTAGAATGTATGAGGGAGTTATAGTTTGGCAATGTGTGAAAACCATTTATGTTAAGCATAGTGGTAAGCCATGCTTTGTGATGCTGGTGAGAAATTGATGGTCTGAATCTCTTAAGCCTTGCCAAATCTGCTCACATTTTACTTGGTTTTGGTTACTCTGGTTTCTGGGACCATTATTTTATGGATTAATGGGTTTTTATCTTGGGTGGCAGCCACTATGGCGAATACATTCTTGCGCTTCCCTATTGCGTAGACACTGGGAAAATGACAGCTTCTGAATTCCTATCCAATTTTCATTGTGCTTATACCAAAAGAAAAACAAATTGATAGAAGATGGGAATGTTATGTGGCGTTGAACTTTCTTATCACCACTAATATTTGAGCTATTTAACACCTGGTTTAGGTGCATTGCATATTATATAAGTCGCCATACATTTTGGTGTAAACATCGAAAAAAATGTCCATTATAACAGAGGTGGAAAGAAACTGCTATGGAATACTCTGGCTGCAGAAGAGTTAATTTGCCAATCTCCCAAGAATACATTAAACCCATTTCTAAGTGACCAGTAACAGCCTTATCTGCCCCCAATGTTATGCTTAATACAGTGAGGATTGTGCCATTGTGAGAAGTATTTGATTACACTCGCTGAGAGAATTCCCCATGCTACCGGACCTGCCATCCTCTCCCATCTGTAAGAAGAGGAAGAAATGTTTTGGCCTTCCAGAGCTGACACACTGAAATGGTGAGCATGCATGGTTGTGGCCAGCCTTCCTCAGACACAAAGAAATTGAATGTGTGATGCCTGATTTAGCTTTTTAGTCACTTGACAAGGTTTGTGAGATATTTTTCAGCTTGGTAGGTAGAAATATATTCAGGGGTACTACCAATAGTCCATTTACTGGCACAGTGCTCAGTCGACTTCCTCTAATGGTCACGCAGACCAACTCCATAGTCCTTCTTTTTTTTTTTTTTTTTTTTTTTTTTTTTTTTCTCTCTCTCAATTTCTTTGCAGGGTTGCTCATTTCAGGCTTACATTAACATAAGAGCCACACAACCTATGATAAGACTTTACATAAAGTAGCCATTAATAACATTGTTACATATAAAGGTTATGGCCAACAGTGAAAATATAATCATGGCCTTGTATTATTTACATGTTAACAGCCATTTATACGTATAACCTTTTTGGAACTATTGATTATTGAAAGTTTAAGTGGAATTAGACCCGAAAATGCAACCATCTCCCAAAAGTTACTTTAACGTCATGCCAACTGTCAAGGTTGCCACTGTGTGTGTTTATTTCAGCTCTCAACTGAACTTTCAAGCCCTTGAATGGCTGATGAAATGTGTCTCAAAACGGCAACTGCTATCCTAATGGTGGCCAAGATGGCACCTTCCTTGGCTGTAAGTGATGGGAGGATGTAGTGCCTAATGTGTCATATGACAGTAATTACATTAAATGACTTTGTAAGCAGCCTCTAGTAATGGTGGCCTTGACAAGACTAAAGACTGTACCTAGCTTCATAGTGTGTTTAATATAATGATACATCTGGAGCACAGTACTGAAGAGTTTGATACGCACCACATTTAAAGGATAAATGGAAGTTTTACTCTTGTCAGAAAAAAAAAATACTGAACTAGTTAACCAGTTTGCTGCAAATAAGTAAATAAAATATTACCCATTTCAAGTGAGAAAAGGCTCTCGGCGCTGCGTGGCCCCCAGTCCTATGCATTTCATCTTCCCAATAGCCTACTGACCTCATGAACTATGGGCTGCATAATGCAACCTTGTGTGTTTCCCCTACCATAGGTAACTATAATCATTTGCAAATTGCCCACCTTTTCAGTCTCCTGTTAAGATTGATTGAGAATTTGGGATCCGAATATAGGGTGATTGTACCAGAATATTTGTATTTTTAAACAATTGCAGAGCTCTCTACAATCCGCTTCTTTCAATGCAGAATAACTGCGTTCATCTATAGATTACACTTCTCAGAAAACTGGAAAAATCATTCACAACTTCTGTTCCCAGTGCTCGTTTGTGTTGCAGGTATCAATCTCCTGAAAACTAATGTCCATCTGCAAGGAATCTGATCTAAAGCTTGCAGTTCCCCCTGCACATCTGCCACTTTGGTATCAGTACATTGGTGGTGTATGAAATCCTGCAGGCTGGGGGTCTGTATGATTATTCCATATAGGGGTCATTTTGGATCAATGATGTGTGTATTACCTGTACAAGTATTGTGGAAAATAGTTGTGTGTGTTTGTGAATATGCACTGGAGGAAAATAACTGCTGTACATATGATCAAATGTCTGTGTGTTCTTTGTTTCCAGCTATAAAATATAGGAAGCAAGCCTCAAACCAGAATGATTGACTTACATTTAATGGAAATAGATCAATTGAGATGAATGATCTGCAAAAAAAAAAAAAAAAGGGACAATAGAAATCAAATCTAATGCTTTAAAGGCAGACTACAGGGAGTGGAATAATGTCAGTGTGCTTTAGGCTGACTTCTTAACATATCATGAAATCAGCAGATAACCTGACTTGCTTCTCTGCTGATCATCTTCGTTTTTGGTAATGCTGGTTGCCAAGCTACCTATACCTTATGCAACAGCAAAATGACTGTATAATACTTGAATCCGACTTCTTGTGTATGTTTTCCCTAAAGGGGCTAGACAAGACAAGATATATATTTTCATGCGTTAAAGATTGAGTTTGAACTATGCGAGCCAACGTTTCTTTCCAATGTTTACTGAAGAGTTGTTTGGTATTCATCAGCACCGAGCCCTTGGCTGTTGCCTTGGAGTAGTGCGACAGACGCCATTTTCTTCAGACAATCGGGCAGAAGGTGTGAAAGTACATGAAATGGCAGCTCCTGCTCAGGAAGCACAGAGACTGATGACCGTATGAGACATTGATTATCTGGACACATGATTAGAAGAGAAGCTTTGAGTCACTGGGGTCTGTTACAGGACAGGAAGTGCCATACTATATAATGTAGAATAATCATTTCATGGGCATAAAATATATATATTCCTTTATAAGCTATTTGTTACATTTCAATAATTGATGCAGAGTCAGATCTTTAAAATGTGTATATACTATACTGCTACTAGCTGATTTAAAAGTTGGCAGGCCAGTCAAAGCTTTAACTATTTTTGTGTATGACAGTGTATGTGGTCTGTGCAGTAGTAGAGTAATGCAATAACTAGAACATTATATCATGTCTAAATGACCTAAATGTACGACTACAAGCAGGTTCATTGGCTGGAAACTTGGTCTACTCTACACCATTGCCATTGTATTCTGCTTTCCATGGCTTTGTCATGCGGTTTTTTTAATCTACTTTGGGGTTTTTTAGTTACATAGTACATAGTTACATAGTATTTGAGGTTGAATAAAGACATTAGTCCATCAAGTCCAACCTATTGGGATCTCATACCCCTGTATATTACGGTCCCTTAAGAAATCGTCCAAAAGTTTCTTGAACAATTCCACATTATTTGCTGAAATCACCGCCTGTGGCAGTGAGTTCCAGACCCTAATGCAATTTTTAATTTAAAATGATCCCTTTTAGTTCTGTTTCCCACACAAAAAAAACAGGTGAGACGTCACCTAAAACTGGCCGTTTATATTGTGAAATGCATTTATCAATTAAAAGGATTTGTATGTAAACATTTTCGCTGTTGGCAGACCATCCAGGGCAGCCGACTGTCTGTTTACATACATGTGTTTGGCATGTAAGCACTATTTAGAGTATAAACAATTGGTAACCTTGCAATGTTAAAGTCTAACACTCCCAATTGGCTTGTCAGATACCACTTTGTTCCCTGAAGCAAGCCTAGATGATGCCTAGTCTGTGCTAATGCACTATACGTTCACCATAGGATATGCACTGCATTTTAAGTAGCAA